ACCTCTTACTCTAACTGTACCTACAACTAAAATATCGATATATCAGTTGCCCCTCTATAAACATTACATCCTGGAGCCTACCCATCAACCTTTTATCCACAATACATAATCTAATAAACTAACTTTCATTAACGTGCTACATCATACCTTGTATATTTATTTATCCTCTTTCATAAAATATGTATTACTTATTAACCAAATTTCTTTCTACACATAGCTCAATTAAAGGCTCCCCATTTACATTTACCCTGGCACCCCAATTTACCTACTAACTCACTCCCTCCATAACATTTTACCCACTTTAGCATTGAATCCCCAAACCACCATTCTCTCACCCTTGATTCAAAACTCCCCACGCATTCACAGCCCAATTTCCCAAATCTCTCTCTCTCCTCTACACTTCTCACTTCTCCCGGTTGCATACACGCTATTTATAACCCACTTTGCACATCCAATCTTTATTTTACTCACATAATCCTTGAACTAAACAATTAAGTCCCTCTTTTTCCTGCATAGCTTATCCTTCAAACATTATTCTGACTCTCTTCTTTAGCTCTAACTCTATTTGAACCCCTGACCTAAGCCCATTTATTCTCTCCATTGAAACTCCTCCTCACCCCCTTCAGCTTTGTTTCACTTAAAGCCAGGACATCCAGCTTCTTCTCATTCATAACATCCACAATCATCCTTCTTATCACTTGCACAACATCCACGCAACATTCAACTTCCCCACTTTGAACAATTTTCTCTGCTTATTCTTTTTTAGTAATCTTACAAAAAGGGGTTACTAGCCCATTGTTTTTTCCCTCCCGGCATTTTAGTTGACTTTTACAACACCATGGCGTACGAGGAAAGATTCTTATTCCACTTCCCCATGGATATAAAAGAAAATTAATAAGACCAAGAACTATTAAAGATAAAATCAAAGAAATCTCCAGATGAGTGTGTATGAATAAATGTTATAGGATGTGTAGTGTGACGTAAGTGTAAAGTAGAAGTAGCAAGACATCCTGTAATCTTGCATATTTATGAGACAGACAAAAGACTTCACAATCCTACCATCATTGTAATAAATTACAGGCTTTCGTTTACACTCACCTTGCAAGACGGTAGTACCTCCCTGGGTGGTCGCTGTCTACCAACCCTAAATATATATATATACCTATATATATATATTATATACCTATATCTAAAATATATATAGATATATATGATATATATATACTATATATATATATATATATCTCGACTTGTCACCTCTTTAAGCAAATGAAACAGTATGTTAAAGTAGTTGTTTAAATGTCAAGTAACATGGCTTACCAGTGATTTCGTGATAAAAAAAAATACCTTAGTGTTAATGATGTTACAGTACAAAGGAGTACGTACATGGAAAAGACGATCACTGAGAACTTGGAAGTCCTCACCGAAGCTATCTGCCGATAACTATTTACTTCCATCTGACTAGTTAATAGTCCAAGTCGGACCGAAACGTCTAGGGCCATGAGTCAAGGATAGAAAAGCAAAAGGCTCCCTCCCCACTCTTCCCAGCCACTGCCAGCATGAAAACGAAAGGGAAGGGGAGGGAGGGGGAAATATACCATATCATATTGGAGAAATGGTATAGAATTTACAGATGGAACCGGATAAAAAACGTGGAATGCGACAACCTCTGCTTAATTAGTACTATTACTATCTTAAACTACGGGTGTTACTCTACTGCCACTCACAAAGCTGTGTATCAGTAGTTCTATCTCCGGTTACTACTAGTTCTGCTATGACTATCACAGATGCTCTATTTTTACCCCAAGTACTAATACTGACTTGGTTGCCTAGTCAAGGCAACCAAAGCAACCTAGTCGCTGAACAAACATCAAGAACCTGTCGACTTCAAACTGACCCATCTACTGAATGCACATGAAAGTCCGCATATGTTAGTGAGGTAGCAAGTATATTAGGCAGCATCTTGCTCCTGTCCTCTCACACCGTACCCAATACCTTGCCGGTCATTATAACTTATCATATTTTCTAACATACACGTCCTGAAGGTTCTGGCTACTCTCCCCACTAAGGCACCATGTATCTAGTCAAATAATATACATGCTTGTCCAGGTCCTTCTTAAATAACCATATTGTCTTCGCTCTTACAACAATAGTGGGGAATTTATTCCATTCTTCTAAAATTCTGTTTCCAACAAAAAAAGAACTCAGCATATGTTTGTGTTGCATATTCTGCCTCGCAGTTTTATTCCACTGTTTCGAGTTATGACTTATTCATTACCTCACTAAATAACATTATTCATTACCTCAAATAGTTCTTAATGTTTGAGTGGGTCAAAGCCATTCAGTATTTTAAAGGTTAGAATGAGATTTCATATTCTCCGTTTTCTAAGAAAGCAACAGCATCAGGCGTCCTTTGTTTCTGCGAGATGTTGAAATTCGGGACAGCTGCAATGACAATTTGTTTATTTAATTTTCCTTTGTAATTAAAAGATATTTGTTTAATTATTTAAAATTCCTTTGTAATAAAAGCATGTCTGTTGCAACAAGGGTATATGTTTGCAGTCTATGATGTGGATGTAAATTTTAACGAGTTGAAAGATGGTGAAACTTCCTTGCCCATACGTGTAATACTTGTGCTCGACGATTCTAGTCTTGAGGGTCCTGCCAGCTTGTCCGATATATTTTGTAACTCACAATTATACCTTATTAAGTTCTCATTCAGAGTCGTAATTTTTAGCTCCTTTAGAATTCTGTTGTAGGTCATATCTTTCAGCTCTAGAATCAGTTAGGTGACAAATATATGTATACGTTCTTGTTTTTTTTTTATGGGACAGGAGCTGCACGCTGCCATTACATACTCGATAACTGATCTGATGTATGTTACCTTGTACAGGTTCCTGAAGGAATGGCTATATTTGATATTCGCCATTAATTTTGATTAGTTTATGTATGAATTAGAAAATAGGTTTAGTGTGATGTTTACCTCCTGGCATTGTATCTTGCTGAAATGATACCATATCTTCATCCTCATTTTTCCAGCTGCCATCTTCCCAACTCTGCACTTTTTAGAATCGAACTTCAACAGTCAGTTGCCGCACTATTCTTACAGTTTGGCCAATGTTTTCTATAGGTGTAATCCATTCATTATCCCATCAGCTAAGCACCATCTACGAATACACACATCAGTCTATTCGCTCTGATAAGTCAATCTCATATATCAGCAATACGACGAATTTAAAGATTGGTGTTTGTCTGGAGTCTACTTGATACTCTTCTCCAACTTTACAAAAATCTTCATTCATTCTTACTCTCTGCCTTCATTTTGTAAAGTGTTATCTTAACCACTGAATTATTATTATTATTATTATAATCAAGGGGGAAGCGCTAAACCCGGAGGATTATACAGCGCCTGGGGGGGGGGGGATGTGGAAGGCATTCAGGCTTAATTCGGGGAACTGGAGCACAGATCCAATTCCCTAAATCAAGAGCCCCTCACCAACATCAAGGAACCTTCCTTGAGGGGTTAACCACTGAAGTATCGTCTTTTTTTTGTCACTTTTTTTTTCCTCCTGAGGTACAGTCTCAAAGTCTTTTTAGTTGTCAAGAATGTACAGCAAATTCATTTATCCTATACTGTCTAATTTCATACCATTACCTGTTATGGATAGGTATGCATGTTAGGACAACACTGGTCTTTCTCAACTGTCTGGAAACTCACCCGTTTTCAGTCTTTGTGTACATAAGCGAAAGAGGCAGGCTTATAGCTGTGCACCCACGATGAGATTTCCTGTCTGGTCCCATCGTCTTCCGTATATAAATTCTTTATGGAGCCTCATTACTTCGATGCTGTCCAATACTAAGTGGCTCTGATATTCATCTACCATTTCTCGTTATAGTCCTTCCTTTCCTGTGTATAGCTCTTTGAATCTTTATTTGAATTCTAAAGTCACTTTTAATGGTTTTCTGTGAACTGGTTACCAGTGAGTGTACCTACCGAGTTGTACCTCCCTCCTGCCTCTTTAACCTTCAATTGACTGACGGAGTCGATTCCTTTTTTCTCTTGGGTTCTATGACACCTCCTAAAACCGTTAAAGAAGTTTGCCTGTTTATTTAGCTCAATCTATTTTGTACTAATGTTACAATAAAGAAGTATTTCCTAACATTCCTGGGGCTCATTTGGTTGTTCAGCTTCCATCTGTGCTCCTTTGTTCTGATCCCTACCATGTCAATCATTCCTTGTCTACTCTGTTGATGTCCCTATGTATCTTATAAGTCGTGATCACATCTCCCCGGCTCTTCTGCTCCTACAGTGATCTAAGTTTTAATTTAGTCTTTCATCACAGCGCATTCCCATCAGCCCAGGAACTAGGTAATTCTGGTCGCAAACCTCTGGACTTTCTCAAGCTTCTATATACGTTTGATGAGGCACAATTCGCATACACTCAACGACTGGTTAACATACATACTGTTTAGGAGTTTGAACTAGTCTTTGTTTACGTTCGTGATTGCAGTTATATTTGTCACATTAGTTATCGGTGTAATAGGGTTCATATGAGGATAGGGATGATTATGTTCTTAAGTTCTATTTATTTATCCGTTGTCTGGAGTTGATTTAAGCACTTGCCTTCCACTATTATCTAACTCGTTAGTTTAACAATATCTGCCAATACTTATAAAAGTTCATTAGCTTTATGATGCACCTCCTTTCCATCCTACAGGCGATGGACACGAGGACCTATATAAGGGAATGTATCGCTCCAGGAAAGTCGTTTAATGATCATTTATATATATGGGTCTCAGTACTGATTCTCAGGGGAAACTGTGTTACATTTCTCCATCCTGACACCACTGTGACTTCCTTCTATTCGCCAGTGTTTCCACAGCCCCTGTCCATTTACCCACAACTACTCCCAAGTTACACACACTCTTTACCCACTTACCCACATCTCTCCACGTCCCCGCAGCACCTTCCAATTCTCCTACAACCCATGTCGACTCACCGGGGTCCAGGAGTGTGACATGGGCTCGGTGAGCGAGGTCATCCTTGGGTCGACGTCTAGGATGAGTGTAGCCACCTCCTCCTCCATAGCCCTCAGTCTCGCTAGAAGTCCTGCCTGCAGCGCCGCCTGCAGCACTGCTCTGCTGCCTCCCGTACCTGTACCACAGCCAACATGGTGGCAGTGGTGGGATGTCAAGTCTCTTAGTGGTGGAATATCAAGTTTCTCAGGAGTGGTATACCAAATTTCTTAGTGATGGGATACCAAGCCTCTTTGTGGTGGCAGACTTCTTGGAGCTTCATACTCACTTGGTACCTGGGCTCAAATGAGTAACATAAAACTAGCACCACAATGAATGACAGGATACGTACCTACTGGGAATGGAGGTGCGAGGCAGGTCACTCAGGTTACCTGTACTCCGTGACAGGTAGCGACTCGGGATGCCAAGGTACCTGGTAAGGGAACAATACCACTGTCACTCATAACTATCACCCACTGGACACAATACACTGAAAATTAGGAAAATACCGACCAATGGCGATACATTGGAGCATCTGTATAAAACAAAAACATCTGATGTTGACACATATTGACACTAGGGGTTGTGTATACATAAACCAAAAGGAAAGATTAATAAACAGAAAGATGGACGAGGAGCTTGAACCGTGGTCCTGGGATTGACAGATCCAACGCTTTACCGCTGAGCTACGGAGCTTCTAATATGGAAGATTTGGTAAGAGTACTTCTGTACATGTTTTCCGCTAACGGCACCAACTCTAACCCTACAGACTCTTCCTCACTGCCCAGAGTTTTCGCAGTAAATCTGTCCTTAGCTCCCTCAAGATTTAGCCGAGTATATATAGGAAGCGCGTTTGTCTCGTGCTTAGCAAACGGAGGATCAACTCTCCACCACGTCTTATTTATTTATTTGAACATGATACAGAGAAGTACAAAGGAATACAGTTATTAAAGTGCAACATGCCAAAGCCCGTTGTATGCAGAGCATTATGGACAGGCTTAAAATTAACTTAAGATTAATTAAGCAATGATATATTCAGTGGTAAAAACATTATGCTGAATGACCCACATGGGTTTAGCGTTAACTTGAATTATAATAATAATAATCACCTCTTTCAGAGCCATTTAATCTATATGACCCCTCCCCTTCCCCGTCTCTTTCTAATTATCCATTTAAAGTTGATTATTACGACTTAAAATGAGTTCAATTGAAAACTTGGTAATATCTAGGAGCGGTAGAAGTGGGAGTAGAAGCAGAAGTAGAGGTAGAAGTATAAGATTAAAATAGAGGTAGAGGTAGACATAGAGGTTTGCTGTGATTACCTGGTGTTACGGGTGGGAGAGGAGGGTATGCGAGAGAGTAGGTCATCGTCTGGCCTTCGGTACACGAAGCGAGGTTTGCTGGCCTCCTCCCGAACTCCACGACCGCTGTCCTCTGTAACGATGATTGCTTCATACATTGCCTCTAGCTTCCTCAGTAGCATACCAAAATATACACTCTGTTGAGTGCATTACCTTTCACTATCTACTACATGTACTGCAGTGCACGCTCCTCTGATTTCAGTTTTATAACGGAGTAATAATACAAAAATGTTCAAAAATAGACAATTAATTTATTAGAAGAAAAGAAGAAGAGGTTATCAGAAAACTAAGATATCACACACACACACACACCTGTGACGAGCGGGGTCCCACAGGGGTCGGTCCTAGGACCAGTGCTATTTTTGGTATATGTGAACGACATGACGGAAGGGTTAGACTCAGAAGTGTCCCTGTTTGCAGATGATGTGAAGTTAATGAGGAGAATTAAATCTGATGAGGACCAGGCAGGACTTCAAAGAGACCTGGACAGACTGGACACCTGGTCCAGCAAATGGCTTCTCGAATTTAATCCTGCCAAATGCAAAGTCATGAAGATAGGGGAAGGGCACAGAAGACCACAGACAGAGTATAGGCTAGGTGGCCAAAGACTGCAAACCTCACTCAAGGAGAAAGATCTTGGGGTGAGTATAACACCGAGCATGTCTCCGGAAGCACACATCAATCAGATAACTGCTGCAGCATATGGGCGCCTGGCAAACCTGAGAACAGCATTCCGACACCTTAGTAAGGAATCATTCAAGACACTGTACACCGTGTATGTCAGGCCCATACTGGAGTATGCAGCACCTGTTTGGAACCCGCACTTGATAAAGCACGTCAAGAAACTAGAGAAAGTACAAAGGTTTGCAACAAGGTTAGTTCCAGAGCTAAGGGAATGTCCTATGAAGAAAGATTAAGGGAAATCGGCCTGACGACACTGGAGGACAGGAGGTCAGGGGAGACATGATAACGACATATAAAATACTGCGTGGAATAGACAAGGTGGACAAGGACAGGATGTTCCAGGGAGGGGACACAGAAACAAGAGGCCACAATTGGAAGTGAAGACACAAATGAGTCAGAGAGATAGTAGGAAGTATTTCTTCAGTCATAGAGTTGTAAGGCAGTGGAATAGCCTAGAAAATGACGTAGTGGAGGCAGGAACCATACACAGTTTTAAGACGAGGTTTGATAAAGCTCATGGAGCGGGGAGAGATAGGGTCTAGTAGCAACCGGTGAAGAGGCGGGGCCAGGAGCTAGGACTCGACCCCTGCAACCACAAATAGGTGAGTACAAATAGGTGAGTACACACACACACACACACACACACACACACACGAGGTGGACAAAGACGGGATGTTCCAGAGATGGGACACAGACACAAGAGGTCACAATTGGAAGTTGAAGACTCAGATGAATCAAAGGGATGTTAGGAAGTATTTCTTCAGTCATAGAGTAGTCAGGCCGTGGAATAGCCTAGAAAGTGATGTGGTGGAGGCAGGAACCATACATAGTTTTAAGGTGAGGTATGATAGAGCTCATGGGGCAGGGAGAGAGAGGACCTAGTAGCAATCAGCGAAGAGGCGGGGCCAGGAGCTGTGAATCGACCCCTGCAACCACAAATAGGTGAGTACAAATAGGTGAGTACACACACACACTCAGCCACAGAGTAGTCAGGAAGTGGAATAGCTTGGGAAGCGATGTAGTGGAGGCAGGACCCATACATAGCTTTAAGCAGAGGTATGATAAAGCTCAAGGTTCAGGGAGAGTGACCTAGTAGCGACCAGTGAAGAGGAGGGGGCCAGGAGCTTGGACTCGACCCCTGCAACCTGAGTCAACTAGGCGAGTACAACTAGGTGAGTACACACACACACACACACACACACACACACACACACACACACACACACACACACACACACACACACACACACACACAAACACACACACACAAACACACACACAAACACACACACAACACACACACAAACACACACACACAAACACACACACACACACAAACACACACACACACACACAAACACACACACACACACACACACACACACACACACACATACACACATACACACATACACGTGCATATACAGCAGGCCTAGTGTCTAATCGACATGTGCCTAGGACAGAATGGTAACTAACACACAAACACGTACACAAACACACACACAAACACACACAAACACACACACCACAAACACACACACAAACACACACACACACACACACACACACAAACACACACACACACACACGTGCATATACAGCAGGCCTAGTGTCTAATCGACATGTGCCTAGGACAGAATGGTAACTAACACACAAACACGTACACAAACACACACACAAACAAACACACACACACACAAACACACACACACACACACACACACAAACACACACACACACACACACACACACACACACACACACACACACACAAACACACACAAACACACAACACACACACAAACACACACACACACACAAACACACAAAACACACACACACACACAAACACACACACACACACACACACACACACACACACAACACATACACAAACACACACACAAACACACACAAACACACACACACAAACACACACACACAAACACAAACACACACACACACACATAAAACGCACACACACACACACACGTGCATATACAGCAGGCCTAGTGTCTAATCGACATGTGCCTAGGACAGAATGGTAACTAACACACACACACACACACACACAGAGTCTCGACCCTTGCAACCTCAATTAGGTGAGTACACAAAGACTGGACACGTGGTCCAGAAACTGGCTTCTCGAATTCAACCTTGCCAAATGCAAAGTTATGAAGACTGGGGAAGGGCAAAGAAGACCGCAGACAGAGTATAGGCTAGGTGGACAAAGACTGCAAACCTCACTCAAAGAGAAAGATCTTGGGGTGACATTAACACCGAGCACGTCTCCGGAGGCACACATCAACCAGATAACTGTTGCAGCATATGGGCGCCTGGTAAACCTGGGAACAGCGTTCCGATACCTTAGTAAGGAATCGTTCAAGACACTGTAAACTGTGTACGTCAGGCCCATACTGGAGTATGCAGCACCAGTTTGGAACCCACACCTGGCCAAGCACGTCAAGAAGTTAGAGAAAGTACAAAGGTTTGCAACAAGGCTAGTTCCAGAGCTCAGGGGAATGTCCTACGATGAAAGGTTGAGGGAAATCGGACTGACGACACTGGAGGACAGAAGAGTCAGGGGAGACATGATAACGACATACAAAATACTGCGTGGAATAGATAAGGTGGACAGAGACAGGATGTTCCAGAGAGGGGACAGATAAACTAGGGGTCACAAATGGAAACTGAAGACTCAGACGAGTCACAGGGATGTTAGGAAGTATTTCTTCAGTCATAGAGTCGTCAGGAAGTGGAATAGCCGAGCAAGTGACGTAGTGGAGGCAGGAACCATACATAGCTTTAAGACGAGGTATGACAAAGCTCAGGAAGCAGAGAGAGAGAGGACCTAGTAGGAAGTGGAATAGCCTAGCAAGTGACGTAGTGGAGGCAGGAACCATACATAGCTTTAAGACGAGGTATGACAAAGCTCAGCAAGCAGAGAGAGAGGACCTAGTGAAGAGGCGGGGCCAGGAGCTGAGTATCGACCCCTGCAACGACACTTAGATAAGTACAATTAGGTGGGTACACACACACACACATACAGTGGAGGCAGGAACCATACATAGCTTTAAGATGAGGTATGATAAAGCTCATCGAGTAGGAAGAGAGAGGACCTAGTAGCACTCACTGGAGAGGCGGGACCAGGAGCTGAGTCTCGACCCCTGCAACCACAATTTGGTGAGTACACACACACACACACACACACACACACACATATATATATATATATATATATATATATATATATATATATATATATATATATATACATATATATATATATATATATATATATATATATATATATATATATAATGTGTGTGTGTGTGTGTGTGTGTGTGTGTGTGGTTGAGGGAAACCGGCAGGCCGGACTTGAGTCCTGGAGATGGGAAGTACAGTGCCTGCACTCTGAAGGAGGGGTGTTAATGTTGCAATTTAAACTGTAGTGTAAAGCACCCTTCTGGCAAGACAGTGATGGAGTGAATGATGGTGAAAGTTTTTCTTTTTCGGGCCACCCTGCCTCGGCCAGTTGTGATAATAATATATATATATATATATATATATATATATATATATTATATATATATATATATATATATATATATATATATATATATATATAATATATATATATATATATATATATATATATATATATCAATGCACTGCCCAGTGTATGTGGCATTTGTGTGGCCGAGTGGACAAGAGCGCTGCCTGGGAATCTTGACCGTCGCCAGTAGTAGTTTCGAATCCTGCTGTGATCTTTCTTTATATATACAGTGGTCCCTCGTTGTTCGTAATTAATCCGTTCCTGGAGCCGTTACTATAAACGAAATTTACGATTTACGAATCAATTTTCCCCATAAGAAATAATGTAAATACAATTAATCCGTTCCTGAAACCCAGAAGTATTAAAACAAAAAATTTTTTAACATGAAATATGCATGTAGTACATAAACAATACAATGGGAAATGATGAATGAAACATTAACAGCATAACACTTACCTTTATTGGAGATTCTTCTTAGTGTATGGGAGACTGGAGGAGGAGAGAGAGTAAATTGTTTATAGTTTGGAAGGGGAATCCCCTTCATCAACACCTCAGGTACCTTTTGCTTTTCTGGGGTTGCTTCTCTTTTTCTGTTTCTTAATGCCTTTTAGGACCACCTTGAGAGTCACGGGGCCCCTGTCTCACAAAAATAACGTGGAGAGAGCTCTGTTTCGCATCTCTTTAAGGGCTTTCCCTAAAATGGCCCAAGACTTGTCACTGTAACATGTTGCCAACCTGCTTGCAACAACCTTGTTAGGGTATTTTCTCCATAAAGCTTTCCATCTACCCCACATAGAAAAAAACCCCTTTAATTTCTGAAGAAGGCCCCCTTCTTCCATCTCTCTTCCTCCTCCTCTGCAGCAAGATTCTGAGCTGCGATGTGTTGCTCTTCCGCTG